AGGAGAGATCGAGGGGCACAGGTGAGAGCAGGTGACCTGGGAGGGGTCTGGAGAGGAGAGACCGAGGGGCACAGGTGAGAGCAGGTGACCTGGGAGGGGTCTGGAGAGGAGAGACCGAGGGGCACAGGTGAGAGCAGGTGACCTGGGAGGGGTCTGCAGAGGAGAGACCGAGGGGCACAGGTGAGAGCAGGTGACCTGGGGGGGTCTGGAGCTGTGCTCTCCAGGAGGGTCTCCACCGGCCACACGTGGCTACCTACGTTTAAATTAATTTAAATTCAACACAACTAAAAATTCAGAGCCTTAGTTGCACTGCTACATTTCAAGCGTTCGACGGCTACCGCATCGGACAGGGGAGAGATAACACATTTCGTCGCCACAGGAAGTTCTTCTCTTGAGGGTTTCCAGAAGGCTACTAGGACTCTCACACTTGGGCTTTTAGAACAATCTCCGCCCCTAATCTGTGCGTGTCCAATCCACTTAAAGGGGTGGAGCCAGGCGGGCAGCATGCTGCCAGTGAACAGACGCCTGGTGAACCAGCCCTGGGCATCGGGTCAGCCGTGCGGTGGGGAGTGCGCGGCCCCCGCCCTCACGGGACCACCAGGAGGAGGAGACGGTGCTCGCAGTGGCCCTGCTCTGTGCAGGCACCGTGCCCAAACAGGAACGTAGAGTGAGCCCACAGGGAACAGGTATTACCTGCCCCAGGAGTGGGGTGCAGAGCTCTGAGCGTGGGAGGAGGAGCTACCACCCGAGTGAGGTACCAGGGCCGGTCAGTGGGCAGAGAGGGGACCAGCGTCAGCCTGCGAGTCAGAGACGGACGAGGGAAGGGCCTTTTCCTAAGAGGCACAGGCTGGGCCGAGGGGCGGTGACCGGGCTGAGGCCTGAGGACAGCAGGGTGTACGCCAGGCAGTGATCCTGAGAGGGAGGCGGGAAGGGGGTCGGGCCGGACGAAGGGCAGATTTTAGGGATCACTGGATTCAACCACGGGGAGGTCCCTGGTGACTTCTCAGCCAGCAGTGTCAGCGGGAACAAGCGCACGGCCCCCTGGTCCAGTGGGTGCGGTAGGAGGGGCAGCTGGGGACTGGGAACGGAGAGCTGGCCGGGCAAGGGGCCCCCACGCCCAGCCGGACGCGGAGCAAACTCAGCAGCAGCGGGGTGAGGGTCGGGGGAGAGCCGGGCTCCTGGGGGTTCTGCGCAGTCCCCAGGTCCCACAGGTCGTCACTGCGCAAGGCATTAGGTGACCAGGTGAGCACGCCCAGTCAGTCCTGGCTGCAGGGAGACGGGCAAGACAATATGATGGGCCTGACCGGCCTGGGAGGGGCAGAGGCCGGAAAGGGAGGCCGAAGGCTTCACAGAGTGAGTCGGAGGGAGCTAAGTGAAGAAGGCGGAAGGACGTTCCGGCAGAGGGACGGGAGCTGACGGAGCCTGGGGGCAGAGGCAGAGCAGACGCCATAGGAGGGGCCGGGGCTCTTCCCCACACAGGCT